AATATATCTCGAAGGATTGCTCCCTCTTTGTCAGTAGTTCAGTTTACCAACTATTTGAGATTGGTTCTATACTATGACATGATCTTAATTAACCAATCAAAGTTGAGTCTCCATTATCCAATCATCGTACAATGATATTTTAGCTCTATAGGGACATTGGACAACGAAATACTACATTAAATATAAAATTCTCGATTCCAGAAATTTTCTTTTTTTTTGTGACATTTTTGTCATTCTATTAATACTTTTCCGTCGTACGTGCGACTGTGGGCCAATTGATCTAGTTTCCCATAAAATCTAAAATCATAAAAACCTTGAAGACTTCACTAAGTAATCGCTGTTTTTCTCAGTCGCAGGTGCTCTATAAGAGAGATTATGGGTTAGTTTAACTTATAAAATATTTACAAGCCCCATACATACCACGTGGAAATAGTATTTAGTAAAAGACAAAAAATCTTTTAGAAAAAAAAAGAGAAAAATTGTACGTAGAATCTGCCGTGTACTTGGCACATTTTAGCGTTAAAAATCCATCAGACAGAAAGCTGTTTATTTTCTCGAAGGTCGTTTTTTAGCTTTTATTAAATACACACATTGGTATTTCTTCTTGTCATATCAGTCAGAAAGAGAGAGATTGATATTGAAACTACTTTATTTCAAAGTTCATATAAGATTATATAAGGTTAAATACAGAATAAATATAAATATGAATAAGATATGCTATAATGCATTTACAAGTGATACGTTTTTAAAAAAAATATCCCTAGTACACATAGTACAGCCCATGATACTCATGGTGGGTAGAAGTTAGCGACTGCTTTTACTGTAAGTACACCACATGTCTACACATGTGAAAAGCAGTTCGACTTTTGCACTAACATGTGTGCCAGAGTCCAGTTTGGTTACTTGCACTCGCTGGTGAGGTTAGACTTCTGCAAGAATCGGAGGCCATTGGACTTATTTTACTTAGAAAAAAGTGCCTAAAGTGCGGGATTCAATCCCGAGTTGTAGCGGTCGAAAACCAACGATATACACCACTCGCCCATCCATAAGCCGAGTTTTCAAACATAAGTCAACTAAAGCAATATTCCGAAATATTTTACATTTTCTCTTTTCCGAGCGACGCTCCAAATACTTTTTTTTTATATCATCCCTAGATTTAAAAAAAAATCGCCTATTAATTCAAAAAGTGTATTTTAAACTTTTGATCTTTTTAAACGACTTAAATTCTAATTTAAACTATATATACAAGTTATATAACATGTGAACATATCATTAAAACTTTCACGAATATTTAAATTGACAACGGAGCGAAAAAAAAGTAAATTCTAAAACTAAATTAACTTCAGATACCTAGCTTCGTAACGATCGATTCACAAGTTTTGATTGAGAGAGAAAGGTAACTGTAATATATTTAATATTATTTGACTATTGACTCCATGTAATATCTATATATATATAAATGAATGTTTGTATGTTTGTTTGTTTGTATGTCCGGTATACAAATTCGCAGTAGTTCACTAATTCAAACCAAAATTTCCATACATAGGTAAAAAGATACGGGGAAGACGATAGGCTATTTTAAAAAATATATAAATCAATTATTAAAACTATATATTCAAATTATTCTACTTAGCTCACGAACAGCGCCCTCTATCAAAGATTAGATTAAATTATGCTGATGCAAACAAATAGATAATGCTGATAACAAATAATTATAAAAAAAAATCTTATCTAAATATATATCACACAGGTAGATATGCACACGGGTCAATCCCGGGGCGAAGCCCGGGTCACCCGTCTAGTATTTAATATTCAAATAAAATAATTCCTTGGATCAATATTGAGTAAAATTAATCAGGCCTCCAGGGACAAGTATCTTTTAAAAGCATTTTTATTCTTCTCTAGCTTTCGGGTACGGACGCCCATCTAGAGGAGAAAATATTAATACTATTTGACCATTGACTACGACGATGCTCTAAAGTACGCATTCAATATTGTTTCCTGTAATAATATGGTAACTGACGACTCAATGCAAATGTAATAGAAATAAATTAATATATTGATATTAATTTGTCTAACTAGTTTTTTATTGATTACTTAGCGTATAGTTATTGTATTATTTATAATTATTTGATCATTGACCATATATATATATATAAAGAGAGATATTTATAACTCAGGTTCCCCGATTCCGACGACCTGACGATTAGTTAGGAGCTCCAACAGCTGCCACCTCTACTCCACGAATTCTACCCCATATGTAAATAACCAGGACAAGGTGACTCGAATGTAGCATCTGTAAACTGAGACGAAATAAAATGAAAACCCAGGTTCCTGTAGCGCAAAAACCATATATATATAAAGATAAGGGTCACCTCTCCCGTCAAAACTAGACGCCATCCTAGATCGTCGCAAACTAGAGGCTTCGGGTCGGTGACAAAGCCACAACACCAACTTTGGCAAACTGAGAAGCGTCCACTTAGAGACCATGGTTTCGGGCTAATGGCCCTCGTCAGTCTAGGGTGGACTTTATTCCATGAGATCCACAAAAGATCCAATGAAATCCTCACAATTTGCCGAAGAGGTATTTAGCTGGCTAAGTGACTGTGCCAAATCTATGGCAAAATCAATATTCTCCCGTCTGAAAGTTACTGATGGCTGGCGCCATATATCGAAATAAATATCAACTATTCTCGTTGATTTCTAATTATTCCAGAATTGGCCAAATACCCATTCTTGATTAATCAAGAAAATCTAACCACGTACGCGTTTCGGGCTGTTCATATTCTAATCTGGCTATTCAGCAGTTGATATTTATTCCGATAGATGGCGCAAGCCATCAGTAACTTTCAGTTGTACAATAAGGAGATACCTTTTTTCTTTTTTATAATTTATGCACCTTATCCCAGTACAATATCACATTTGAACTATTTTTTTCATATATATATACTATTGAAAATAAAGAATTTTATTAGGACAAAGTATTACTCTACTCTACTAGTAAAAAAATCTTTAAAAAAGAAATAAATTAAAACTACAAAACCAAGAGAGTTAAAATGATATAATTGAGAAGCCATATCTAACAAAATCATAATATTTAAAAAAATTTCATAACAGATGGCGCGCTGATGCATCATAAAATAGCATATATGGATTGTACCTTTTTTTTTATTATTATCATTCACAAAGCACGCGATATCCGTCTTGGATTTTTGCATGCATACACAAGTTTGGGAGCTTTTACAGTAATTATCAAAATTATTTTAGTTATTATAATAGAAATTATTAACGTATTTGTCAGTTAGTTAACGATTTAATTACCCTATAATGAATATTAGTGAACATCACAGTTAAGAACAGAAATTTAGAGCTATTTACAGCATATAACTATTTACCATTTATTACAGCCCAGGCTATCTATTAATAAAAAATATTCTACAAAATCTATTAAAATTTATATACATATATCTATTATTAACTATTTGGTTTAGACAATTTATATTTATTTGAATTTTGACTCTCAAGTCCTCTACAAGTCGACAGTCCGTTAGAATATGTACAGGATTTTCTTCTTCTGCACCACATGAGCATTTAGGCGAATCCGTCTTTCTGACTTTGTACAAATATGATCTAAAGTTACCGTGTCCAGTAAAAATTAAGATTAATAAAGTAACAGTATTTGGACAATATTATGAAATTTTGAATGATTAGTTTATATTTATTCCTAGAGATGGCGTAAGCCATCAGGAAATTTCAGCTGCATCATCTGGATGATGATTTTTCTCAACATTTATTATCCTGATACCATTTCACTTATATAGTAATTTCATCATAAATAAAAAACTAAAAATATAATATTAATAGCTTTCACATCCAACAAAATAAACGGATTCCCTTTTATGGACATAATAGAATTTTGTGAGAAAAAAAAAGGAGGGTCTTCTATTTTATTAGTTTTAAAATATTTACATTCTCAATTTGACGCTGTTTGTCCAAATTCCGCTGTTTTTTGGGCAAAGTAATCAACAAGATAAACCAAACGATCAAAACAATCTGCGCGCTAGTGTTGCCGAACTTTCAATTAGGTAAGTTATAAAACTCTCGTTTGGCAAGCAATTAAAGAATTATAACTTGAATAATTGTTCCCTAACTGAGTTAGCCCTTTTTATTTCTCAGTGCTTCTCTCATTAGCAACCCAAATGTCATTTTATTTTCACACCGAGTTGAACTATAATCACATCATATTTCAGTAAATTCAATGATTTTTGCTTTAGTGTCTTTTTTCTCTTTTGTAAAAATTGAATTTCTAATTAAATTTTACTAAACCAATATGCAAATATGATTTCATATTACAAAGTATTATAAAAACAAGCTTTGAAGATTTAAATTTAATTAGAATAAAATTTTATTTTAAAATCTATTTATTGTAGTTTAAAATGTGTTGTTTAAAATCTAATAGGATTTAAGACTTTGTATATATTGAATTACCATAAGACGATGAATACAATTGTTGTATTATTATATTTGATAGAAATCAGAGATTAACGCGTAAATTGTTAATAAATAAAGCGAGTAGGGAGTAGTATTATAGCTTTATAATTTACATATTTACCAATGTATAGTCCTGAAAATAGTCCTAAATTATACCAATGTATAGTCTTAAATATATTAAGACCGATATTGTAAAAATTCAATCTAAATATATTATATTGTCACGTAAAAAATTAGAGGAAAGACAAACTTCAGGATAACACGGCAATTTATTTAAGGTACAAGCACCCATTAAAATTTATAAAATACAATAGAAGCAATGAGGGAAGTTAATGCAGAGTAATAAAATATATAAACATCGATATTAATAATCTTTACATAAAATATAATATACTTTGTAAAACGACACTCGAAGCTACACCGCCGTGTGTCATTTTACAATCACAGGCCGCAGTGTATTATAATGTATTATAAGTTACTTTATGTATCATTCACGAACGGAAAAATACGTCCATGGTAGCTTAGTGGACATGGCATCTGCCCGGTAAGCGGAACATTGTGGGTTCGATTCCCATCCCTGGACACTTTTACTTTTCCGTTCATCATTTCTCTTCATAATTCACCCTTTCATAACTCATCCAAAAAGGTTAGAAATAGCTAATATTTCTACTTTAAATAAAAGAATTTGATTATTTCGTTGAAAAGAAACTCATGCGGTGTAGCTTCGAGTGTCGTTTTACAATCACAGGCCGCAGTGTATTATAAATACTTTGTTACAATATTGTTTATAAAATTTAATTTGAAGTCTCGAGATATCGTTCGGCCATCACGTATCATCCACCACGCACGTATATTTTCAAAAACATTTTGTCTTCAAACTGAAATAATGTAATATATTTTTCTCTCAATATATAATAAGTATTTAAAATATGTATATAATAATGTGTATATAAAAATTGTATTTATTATTATATTTTTAACGTGATAATCCTGTTGAAGGACTGAAAAGTCCGAAAGCTTGAAAATAAAAAGTTGCAAAAAAACTTAACCCTAGAAGCTTAATTTATTTTATAACAATATTGTTTAAAAAAAAAAATTGCTTAATCTTTCAACTTCTGAATTCTTATTTTTATTATCCACATTTACCATTTTATAGAATTAAATGAAAATAAAATAAATATAAAGGTAAGCCTCATACGAATTACTAACCCTAATCAAATATAATACCTATATATGTAAATAAATATTGTTAAGATCTCTAATGATTAAATATGGTAATTCATCCTTATTTTTATATTCAAATTAAACTGAATTATTCTATAGATTTATTCTCCTAGACAAGAAAATTTGTTATTTAAATCACTCATAGATTTCTCTACGAGCTAAAAATCAATAAAAATCATGTGGAATACAATTATTGGATTTTTCTTCATTGCCTGAGGCTAGTACATTCACTTGTTATGGGAGTTATTTAAGGTAATAAAGTTTTTCTTTTGTATGTTTTCTATATATTTTTTATTATTTGAAAAGTTAGCTATTTTCGAAATTTAATCAAATAAAATATCATTTTGAAATTAGTTGAAAAGGATTAATAAAGTCGTAATCTTTCGTTGGATATGAGATTAAATATATTTATGATAATATCATAAATAATAGGAAAATACAAAGATAAATAGTTTTGAACTATTTCTAAAATTAAAAAAATCTATTTTCGATGAATTTCGAAATTATATAAAAAATAAAACAAATTTATTCACATATATATTTATTTTGAAAATAGAGCAATCCAAGGTGTTATAATATTTTCGAAATTTTCTAGGAAAATATTATTAGAAACGGGGAAAAAACTTTTGCCAGAGTAAAAAATTGCCACTATAATCTTAACAAATATCGATTTAACTCCAAAATTGAAATCAATTTCAAATAATGAATTAATTGAAAGATTAAATCAATATTTAGACACCAAATGTCAAAACAAAGCTACAGCCTAATTCAATCTAAAAATTAAACAATTGGCAACAAAAAACAAATCCTCAAACACAACAAAATATATATATATATGCATTTTAATCTACAGTACTACAGAAACAATACTGGAGATACATCAACTGTATATTTCCCATTGATCCCACTCTCCAGCCATTCGACATTTACAGTACTTTAAAACATGAAGAAAATATTATATCACAGGGATTCAACATCGATAAACGCCAAAAAAAGTAAAAACATTTTACCAATAATGCATATTTTATGAAACTAAGAGAATCTAGCAACTAACACAGCATCAACGATCGAAAAATAGAAAATCTACCAAATTGGATTTGTGTTAAAGAATCCCATAAAGAAGTGGTGGGCGAACTGTATAAAACTTTTCTCTTAAGTTTTTATGAAAATTGGATAAGTCTCCCAAAGGGATATAAATACGGTTATCTGAAATTTCGGCAAACAACTCTATTTATAGATAAGGGAAATATGTTGTAATTGTTTTTCCATTAGTGCGGGACTTGTGTGTTAAGTATTTTCAGACAATAATTCTATTCTGTGAATTCAAAATGGCCGTAATTATGAGCAGACGAAGATAAGGAAATGGCGCCATCCAAAACTAATTGCACCGTATCCGGTTCGCCATTTTGGAAAATATTCTTTGAATGTCAATACAAGAGGATAACTAATTATCTACGAGAGGATTACTCTGTGAAAATGTCATTTTTGACCAGGAAAATGTCGCCTTTGTTTTCAAATCTATAAATAGAAAGTTGTGTCTAAAAAAACAAATTGAAGCCTAACCAACCCAGAATAAATTGGATAAATCTAAAATTTGTCATTGTATTCGAAAATATTTGTTGGATTTCTTTGTATGATGACAATTCTCAAAGCCAATTGTACTTTTCTGACTATTTTGCATATTGTCTTGTTTCGAAAATTCATTTTGAAGCCATATATTGTATTGAATTGTAATTTTGTTGAGGTGAAACGAGATTAAGCATAATTTTTATAATAATTTCAATTGTTGATTCGAAAAGGATTATTAGAAAAACACTTTATCCATTGTAAATTTGGGCAATTGAAGGATATACTGGGGTTAAAACACAATTAAATAAATGACTTACCGCAAAATATAAAAAAAAAATATATATATATTTTAGGGAACTACGTCGGACCTGGAAGCTGTTGGGCTCTGCGCTACCTGGAGTATAGGAGCTCCATCTATGCTTCTTTCCTATGGTGAATATGTATAAGACCGGTGGTCTTAATAAAGCTGTATGTGTGTGTATTTATTGAGAAATATTTGGATATTGCCTTTTTAAACCTTTAGATATGATAGATCTAATTGTGTAAAATATAAATCTATTGTACCTGAAGGTTAAGAAAAAGGGAAAGCGATCTAAAAAAGCTCTCAATTAATAAAGAAAATGGCTGCAAGTCATTCATTTAATTTATTTCAAGTATAGCCACTCAAAGTTATCATTAAACACACTAGTAATTAAACCAACTAGTAACCATTAGAAGTTTTGTGTTTGAAATAATATTATTTTATGATTACGAAAATTCTTATAGAGTATCCAACATCTGATGCGTTCTAATGTAGTTGAATTCCAATAGCAACGGCCATCTTTAAAATATACACTCATAGACAGAGGAAATTGTACCTTTTAACATGTATATCGGGATTCAGACAATAACTCTGAAAGATACTCTCATGGACAAAACCTAAAGAAGTTGTAACCTTTAGCATGTATATCGGGATTCAGACAATAACTCTGAAAGATATTACTGTGACCTTTACTGAATATACACGAGATAACCAAGTGTGAACAAAATTGCCTCTGTCTCTTTCCAAAACGACATCAAAGACTTTCCACTTTCTCAAGTTTTGTTCATGAGTGTATCTTTAGGATTCTCTAGCTTTCGTTACTGGAAGCTTTTCTGAAGAAAACATGCGCGAACGATTAAATATAAAATGATGATTTCAAATCGCCAATAGAACATGAATATTATAATCATGTTAATTTTGCTATTCAGTTCATTTTATTATCATTCTATGTTATCTTGTTCTATTGTAGAAGATCTTACAAGCCGAAAGCTAGAGAATCATATTACAATATTTAAAAATAATATCAACATTGAACGCCTGATGTTTTCACGCAATACTTTATATATCAGAGTATACTATAGCCAATAGATTCCACAAATAAATTGATAAAGGGATATACCTCGAAAGTTTTCATCCCACTTCTATTTAACTTCGCGTCAATCAATATTTCTTTCAGCCCATCTAAAATTGATCACAAGAACCTGCTCCAATATTTACTACCGGGGAGAATTGTGAAGATATTTAAGTGATTCATTTTGTTCAATTTTTTGCCGTTTTTATTATCAGCGTTCAAACTAAACGCGATTTTTTTCACTTTAAAAGTTAAATTTAAGAAAGGTCAGTAATCAACCATTCTTGAATAGCAATGATAGATAGGTATTATAAAAGAGAAATATATAAATATGTTGTTGTTGTTGTCGTGTCCAATGAACAGATGTCTCCATACATATCTATCACAGCAATGTCCTCTATCTTGGGTGTGTAAAGCTGCTGCTCAGGGTCTATGTCAATTTTCTGTTGTCGTTGTCGTGTCCATGAAGAGCCTCAGATGTCTCCATACATCTCTATCACAGCAGCAGCAATGTCCACATCTTGGATGTGTAAAGCTGCTGCTCTGGGTCTATGTCAATTTTCTGTTGTCGTTGTCGTGTCCAATGAAGAGCCTCAGATGTCTCCATACATCTCTATCACAGCAATGTCCTCTATCTTGGGTGTGTAAAGCTGCTGCTCAGGGTCTATGTCAATTTTCTGTTGTCGTTGTCGTGTCCATGAAGAGCCTCAGATGTCTCCGTACATCTCTATCACAGAAGTCGCAATGTCCACCATCTTGGGTGTGTGAAGATGCTGCTCTGGATCCATGTCAATTTTCTGCAAGCCTGCGGCCATTGCTGGGCATGAGAATATGTGAGTAGGTGTTAGTTCCACACCAGGACAGTTGTTACTTGTCCTGTAGGGTCTTGTACCATCTGGATGTATTGTCATTCCTTTATAGTGTTTTGTTCTAAGTCTTGTTATAGTTTATGTCATTTTATATAAATATGTCTTATATATATAAGGAGAAAATACACCTCTTCTCCTCCATCATAAAAATATACGCAGTAACTATGCGCCGTCTATTAATCGTCCTTACAAATTAATAGGTTCGGTGATAATATCAGCTATGGAAAATTGGAAAATCTTGGGAGGGTCTGGCTTATAAATATACTAGCCGAATGACCCGGGCAACGCCCGGGGTTTACCCGATTAAATGCTTTTATTAAAATACTATTCGTTACAATTATAGATTGGCGCCGTGGATGTCATTCTTGTATAATATATAAATGAGTTTTAAGAATCGAATCCGGGGCGCCCGCGTGGCAGGCGGGCATTCTACCACTGAACCAAAGGCAAACGGTGACAGAGGTGTCTCGCGCATTGGCGGCACCAAATGATGGGGGGGCAAAGGTGGCGTGATCGTAGCCGACCAATAAGAGGGCGCCAGCAAACCGT